GAGATCCGCCTGCCTCTGCCTCCCGAGTGCTGGGATTAAAGGCGTGTGCCACCACCGCCCGGCCACCATTTCTTCTTAAAAGCATAACTAGTCTATTCTCAGTGCCTGGAGAGAACACAGGAAACCATGTCTACATTTGTTTACAATATTAAGGTGTCAAATTCTTCAAACCCTGTGTACAAGTGCTGAGGCCAAGAGATTTTTTCCCCCTTGAGTCTGTTTTCCACTATCTTGTCCAAACTGGACACCAGATCCTATCTGCTTAGTCTGAGAAAGGCATTTTATCTCTGGTGCTTTGATCACATCAGAGCTTATATTTAAAACATGAGAGATGAGAAAAGATCGCAGCTATGCCCTTGGCTCTGTCTCATGGCTGCACCACCCTCCTCCTCTCTACTGAAGACTCTGGGAGTCAAGGTTGGTCAAACCATGAATAAAGCATCTTAGCCCTCTAATTACTGAGCTTTCCTTTCATCAAGGGCTCATCAGAACCCCTGGAGGCATGGGGGTCCCTGTTCTCTGTCTTTGCTGGTTAGCTACCTTGTGTGTACTCTGGCTCAGATACCCCTGGGATTTCTGTGTGTGCTTTAGGTTCCCCATAAGGCTGCTCAGTTCTCAGTTCTGTTCTCAGAGACTGCACTTTGTTCTATAGCCATCTCTGAGTCTGGGACACGGACTCCTAGGAGACCCACACTTTGAACAGCCCCTGGAAGCCATGTTCAAGGCACTTTTAAAAACTGATCTCTGTGTTTTACGGGTTATTTAACCCCAAACTTCAGCACTTCTTCCGTAGCACCATTCTCACAGGGTTAGTTTACTCTTTAAATAAATGACCTGGCTGGGTGTGGTGGCGCACACCTTTAATCCCAATTCTCATGAGCCAGAGGGAAGTAGATCTGATCAAGGCCAGTTTGTCTACTTAGTGAGTCTGGAGACAGCGAAAGTTACACTGTGAGACCTAGTCCCAAATAAACAAACAAACAGCCTATTTCAGAGAGGTGGTTCGGTGGTTAAAAGCACATACTACTTTTTCAGAAAACCCCAGTTTGATTTCCAGAACCCATATCAGAGGGCTCACAATTGCCTATAAGTCCATTTCTTAGAGATCTGGACACTGAGGGCACCTGCATATATCCACATAAAGAAACACATATAATAAAAAATAAAAATTTTAGAAAGACCCATATAGCTGGGGGATAATGGTGCACACCATTAATCCCAACACTCAGGTGGCGGAGGCAGGCGGATCTCTGTGAGTTTAAGGCCAGCTATGTAGAGCGAGTTCCAGGACTGCTCCAAAGCTACAGAGAAGCCCTGTCTTAAAACACACAAAAAAATGCCCATGTGAAGGTCTTAGCCTGTGGTTGGCAGGCTAATTATTAAGCTGTTATTAACATTATTTTGAGATGGAGTCTCAGAAAAAAAACATACACATACACATCACACAATTCATACCACACACATACATAAACAGTTGTGCCTTCTTTCTGGGGTTTTGTTTTGTTTCTTTTAAGGCTGGTCTCAAACTTTTAATTGTCCCATCTCAGCCTCTCAAATGCTGGGATGACAGGTATGTGCCACGTGCCTACCTCTCCGGCTTGTGTGTGTGCTTGCATGTGCCCATATCTTAGAGGAAAGTGAAAGCTGAGTTCATATTTTTGTGGCAGTTTTATTCATTTAATGGACCATGAGTACTGCCTCATGTACTTAGGTACTATGTGACAATTATATGTTCAGCTACTGCCTTGCTTTCTAACATGTTGATATTCATTCACACAATTCATAGTGCATTATCTTGGTCCTTAAATTGCCTCCTATTTTCGTGTCTTTATGCAGTGCTGTGGTAAATGTCCTCGCTCATAAGTTTGTGACTCTGGCTTGATCTCAGGACAGGTGCTTAGGAGCGGTGCATCTCTACTCGGCTGCTGCTTTGCTAACATTAGGGATGCAGAATCGCACCATAATCCCTGGCTCATGACACAGTCTCATAGTTGGAAAGTGGATGGTCCAATCTTATTGTATAGTTAATACATTTATTATTTTAATAATGTAATCAGTAATCAATATCTAACCACAGCCTGTCATCTCCCTCTCCCCCCCTCCAAGGGTACCATCTTGATCTATGCTCATTCCCTTGCTTTTCTTTTCATGTTGTTTCATTGTTTCTATATATATATTCCTAAAGAGTACGTTTTCAAAAAAATATGTTTAGCTTTACAAATAGGGTACTGGTTGCATGTAATTGTTTAGGACTTTTTCTGTGTTTAATATTAACTAACGTCTAACCACATCACTGCACATTGCTGTGGGTTACTCGCACTGATGGATACATCCAAACCATAAATGTACCATGGTCTCTCATCCCCTCTCTCTCCCATGGATGACCAACACCATCTTCAAGGCTTTGCTCTTCCACACAGAACATCTGTGATGTCATCAACAGCTCCTGCACTCGCACCAGCCAGAGACCCTCGACCCTCTGGATACTCACTCTCTGGTGTTCATGCTTCTCTGATCTGAGAGCCATGTTGTCAGGCGACTCTCCAGACTGACAGCACAGTTTGCTCCTCCCCTAGTAACACAATGTGCACCTTCCCACACTCTTCCTAATGACAGAATCAGTTAAGGCATTTTGACCATTTCACAGACAAAAGGTGACCCTTCCTGGCTCTGTGGCCAGGTACTGATTCCTCTTGAAGCTGAGAACAGGTTTTTGATTCTGAGAATTGTTCCCAGTCTGATAACGTCAGTGATTTCTGGAACACATTTCCCAATGGCTCAGCTGCTTTCCCGTGTACAGAAAGAAGTGACACTGTTGGGAGGAGGCTGTGGGGGAACCAGGGTGGGAGACGTGCCCAGCTTCCCACAGTGGAAGATTGTCTCCTGGTCCCAGCCCCTGCCAGTGTCCGATCACTCCTGATGAAACAGGCTTTCTCTCTCCCTACTCGCTATCCTAGAAAAGCCAGCATAATGCTACCCTTTGTTCTTGAATTGATAAATTTAAACCTCCTGCTTTGCTCTGCAGTAAAAGAACTTTCTATTTTGGGCTCGGTGACATAGCCAAAACCAAGCAAGAGCAGCAGGCTGCAGCATGAGTTAATAGCTTTCTTTAGGAGAGAGAGGATCCACAAGCAAAAAGAGAATCTTCCAAAGCATGTCTTCTGCATAGCAACACGCAGCCCATTTGTCTTTTTGCTGACAGATGTATTTCAAGACTGAAAACTAAACACTACTTAACATTCAAAGTAAACTGGGGGATTAACCCTGAACTGACAGTTCCCCTCCACCCTTCTTGAAAGTGTCTCCTGTAGTCAAGGCTAACCTCCAATTCCTGATCCTCCTGCCTCGACCACCCCAATCCTGAGATTTACAGGCACCATGAGCCACCATGCTCAGTTTGGATTTCTTAGTCAAATGCAAGAATTTGCTGATGTTCCCTGTGTCCCTAGCACTCAAAATGCACTGTCAAAGAAGACAGTTCTTTCCTCAGGGGATTTGTAGTCACACACACACACAAAATGATGCTAATTTAGGAGCGTTCTCCTAGTCTGCTTCTGTGTGAGAAACCCACCACACTTGGGTAGGGATCTCCAGAAGAATCAGGCTTCCAGAAAAAAAGGCACGTTCAGATCTATCTAAGCCTGGCACCAGTTAGCACAAACCCAGGTCTGGAAGAACCGGGCAGCAAAGGCTGGTCCCGTCACTCTCTCCTGTTAACATTCCTCTTATTTGAAGCTTCAAGTGTGTTCAGAAGGACAGATGGCAATGAGATCGGCTCTATTAGGTATTCTGGTTTCAGCGATTATAAACATATGTCAATCTCATCCCATCTATACCCAACCACGCCCCCACATATCCATTTTAAAAAAAATTAGAGTCCTTTTCATCTTTTTGTACTTTATATGTACCTGTAGGAAAACAGACTTTTTTTTTAAACAATTACTGTATAGAGGTTGAAACAATGATGATTAGTGTCATCTTGGGTCAGAGGTTAAGCTGACTTAGTGCTCCTTGTTCTTCACTGACTTCCTGCAATAGTGTGGTCTGACTCAGAGCAAAGCAATGTCACTTGAGCAGCTGGAGTGGTACTGCCTGTGACTGCAGCACTTTGGAGGTAGAGGCAGGAGGATTAGGAGTTCAAGGCCATCCTCTGTTATACACAACAAGTCCCAGACCAGACTGGGCTACTTGAGATCTATCTCAAACAAATACATATAAAATTAAAATAAGAAATAGTCCTACAAAGTGATTTAGCTTGTGGACACTTGCTGCCAAGCCCAGGAACTCACACAATGGAAGGAGAGACCTCTGACTTCCACATCCCAACACTAACTAACTGACTAACTAACTAACTGTAAAAACATAAGACTACCACTCGCATTATTTGTTGATGTGGCTCATCACCAGGGCCAAGCAGAGAGCAGGCTTCTAGTCTTTGTTCACAGTTTTAGTTTATAATTTTTTTAAAACTTTTATTTGTAACAGCATCCTCCACCCTTGCCTTTACTTATTTGTCTTTTGTTTGTTTGTTTTTCCTTTTTGAAACTGTCTTACTCTGCAATCCAAGTTGACCTCCAATTCATGAATAAACTTCTTGCCTCAGTCTCCTGAGTCCTGGGATCACAGGTAGGGGCCACCAGGCCTGGCTAGTTGCTCTTTCTTACTGTCCACTTTCTGGGAGGATTGAAGACAACAGGTGTTTTACTTGCTATGGCTATTTGACAGACTACTCCAGTCTAGTAGTAGAAAACAACCAGCAGTTTATCGGACACACTGGAGCCAACCGGCAGGAATTCAAAGGTGGCACTGTGGAGATGGTCTCTCTCTGTCCCATGCTCATTTGGGGACTCCTCTGGGAAGGGTCAGTGTCTGCAATGATGTCACATCTGAGATCTAGCAATACCTGAAGGTCAGGTGACCCCTATATAGGACTGCAGCGGGAGCCCTGACATGCATGCTCTCTATGGCTCAGTTTGCTGGCAGCAGGGTGGATTCGAGAGACTCAGACTTTGTGTTTGATTATGTTTTATGCGGATCAAAGCATTCCAGTCAACAAGCCAGAGGCTGTATCGTTCTTTATGACCACATCTCAGAGCTTAGTGTCAATCTTGCTGTGCTCTAATGGGTAAAAGTCCTGAGCCCTCTTAGGTGGGATGGGTCAGATTCTACCTTTAGAGTAGGAAAGACCCCAGCAGAGCATGGGGGATGACCGAGTGGGAGGTCAGGATGGCCAGTGGAGGTTGCCTTTCTTGTACCAGCCAGGAAAGATGTTGTAAACGGAGGAACCCTGGTGGAGGAGAGAAGAGGAAGTCAGGCACACCCCACAGTTGTACACACTGCACCCATGATGACTGAGGGGCTGGCTGAGCTGAAACTCGGTACCAACTGTGTCCACATCTCCCGTAGGAACAAGGGTATTCCCCACTCCATGTTAGCCAAGACAGCACGGCAGGTACCTGATGGACTGCAGCCGTTTGAGGCATGTGTCCTCCTGACACTCAGAAACCACTGGACACAGGTTGCTGTGGAGCATATTAAGTCTTTTGTGCATGAAGCTAGACCCACTAGTTAACCATAAAATTTGAAGCTTAAACATTGTTTTAAATTACGTGTGTGTGCTTGTGCATGAGTGTAAGTGCCCGGAATCCAGAAGAGACCATCACATCCTTGAGAACTAAAGTTACAGGGGGTTGTAAGCCACTCAGTATGGGTGCTGAGAACTGAACCCAGGTCCTATACAAGAGCAACAAGTGCCTTTAGCCTCTGAGTCATCTCCCAGCCCTCAAACATTTTTTTTAAATAGCATGCACTTTTAGCTTATAGGTCTCTCACTTGTTATCGCTGTATTGATCTAGAATGCTATGGCACTGTCTCAGAAGTTGAGACAACATGTCCTAACATACAGGGACCCTGCCCCCGACCTGACCCCTCTGCCATCAGGCTTTGCTAAATGATGGAGGAAGGTCATTGGTTAAATAAAGAAATTGCCTTGGCCCTGATAGTTAAAATTTAGATAGGCGGAGTAAACAGAACAGAATGCTGGGAGGAAGAGGAAGTGAGCTCAGATGTCACGCAGCTCCTCTCAGAGCCAGACTCCATGAAGCAAGCTGCCAGGTCAAACATGCTGAATCTTTCCCGGTAAGCGCACCTTGGGGTGCTACACACATTATTAGAAATGGGCTAGTCCAGGTGTAAGAGTTAGCCGAGAAGAGGCTAGATATAATGGGCCAAGCAGTCTTTAAAAGAATACAGTTTGTGTGTTGCTATTTTGGGGCATAAGCTAGCCAGGCAACCAGGAGCTGGGGTGGCGGAGCACAGCCCACAGCTCCTATAACAGCTAGACACAAAATATGGACATAGAATTTCTAGGAAACCAAGCCAAACATAACTGAGGCTTTTCTTTCCTTTTTCTTATTAAAATTTTCAGTCCTTAATACTTGTTAGCGTAGCTTTAGTATTTGGGATAAATACAAGAGTAAATACTTACATTTCACTCTGGATGTCAGGGAGCTAATATATAAAGTAATTTCCTGGGGGCTGAGAGGTGGCTTAATGGTTAAGAGAACTGGCCGCTCTGCTGGAGAAGCTGGGTCAGATTTCCAGCACCACGTGGCAGCTCACAACTTTCTGTAATTTCAGTCCTAGTCCTAGGGGATCCATCTTCTGGCCTCTGCAGGAACCAGGCATGCATGTGGTGCACAGACATGCAGACAAAATACCCATAAATAAATTATTTAATTTAAAAATAAATACATTTCCATGCCTTAAAATATGTTTTTAATTATGTGAATGTGTGAATGTCAGTCCCTCAGAGTCCAGACAAAGGTTTCAGATCCCCTGAAGCTGGAATTATAGACTGTTGTGAACTTTCCAGTTCAGATTCTCTGCAAGAACAGTACATGCTCTTAACCACTGAGCCATCTCCGCAACCCAATTCCTAAGCACCTTATAGAGCATTAGACTCCCACACCTGACAAGGGCAGGTGGGTACCAAAACACTCCCACAGAAGCCATCTAAAGTCTTCTCAAAGAAGTCTGCAGACACTTTTAAGGTGGCACACACTTTTAATCCCAGCACTCCAGAGGCAGAGGTAGGTAGATCTCTGTGAGTTCGAGACTAGCCTGGTCTACATACAGAGCAAGTTCCAGGACAGCCTGAGTTATAGAAAGAAATTCTATCTCAATAAACAAACAAATAACAAATTTCTTTCAATAAGATTATCAAAATTCAGTGATGATACTGATAAAGTCAATAAAGATGGGGATAAACATCTGTGTAAGGAAAGCCTCAAATGGCATGGTCTAGATACTTAATTTTTATTTTCTTTAGGATTTTAATGTTTTTCTAACTCATTAAACCTCAGATAGAGAACATCACTACATTTTACCAGTACACAGCACATTCTACCCTAATCAGTCCATGCAAGGCTCCTCTCTTCTTTCGAGTATTAGTATGTATGTATGTGTGCATACATTAGTATGTATGTATGCATCAATCTGTGTATGTATGTAGTAGTATGTGCATATGCATATATCTGTGTATGTATGCATGTATGTGTTTAAGTATTAAGTAGTAGTATGCACATATGGATGCATCTGTGTACATAAGCATGCTCACATGTATTTGTCCCATTCCTCTCTCTGGTCTTCTCTTTCAAGCAAACATTCTAATCCACTTGATGCTTCCTGGCTTATATGTGTTCACGTGAGGTGTGTGCTATGGTTTGCATGTATTTTCATTCTGTCTTCCTTTCTTTTCACTCATCAGTGATATTTTCTAGGCCTGCCCATGTTTCTACCTGTACATTTCATATATCAGACCAACTGCTGAACAGCATTCTGTAGTATACACCCAAGACATCTGTCATCTCTGTTTCCCTAGTCATGGGTACCCCAGTGCCTACAGCTCCTCTTCCCAAACCAATGCTGCCAGAAGCAGTCATCTCAGTGACCCATATCAGACTCACACGGGAATCTCTCTCTCTTATTTTAGTTACATTTTTCTAACTTATCATTATTATCATGTATGCATGTTCATGTGTGAGCATGTGTGTTGTGTGATTGTGTGTGCGCATGCTTGTGTGTGTGTTCACACATGCAGGCATGCAGACAAAGCATGTGGAGGTCAAAGGACAGCTTCCAGGAGTTCGCTCTCTCCTTCCATTTGGCTGAGGCAGGGTCTATACTCCGGAGGCTGCAGGTGAAGGCTTCTCCTTATTAGCCCCTTGCTCTAGATCCCCTGGACTGAAACAAAGGGCTTAGGGACAGTACTGCCTCATGCTGTCTTGATGGTAGAGAGACCTGCTCCCCTTACCACTGTTGCACTCCCTTGTGTGGACACAGGAAACAACAGTAGCTTTTGCCATAGTGTGGAGACCTGGCCCCAGCCATCCATATTTGCCCCTTGGTAAAAGCCTTTTGATAGAAATAAATGAGGGTGGTTTCCACCTAAGGATATCAAAGAATAGGCTTGGCTATAGCCATCTGTTGAACTTTTAAAACTGGCCAGGATTGAGATCCAGCAGAAGCTCTTAGTGACTGTACAGACACATTTAAGCCCTCTTAAAAATGACTGTATGTGGAAAAGAAATATATAGATATAAAGAAAGAAGCCATTGCTTATTTTATATTTTTATTGATTTATTCTGGCTTTTTTTTTGGAGGGGTTTCGAGACTAGGTTAATTTAGTTTTTAATAAATTTTTTTTTTTTTTTTTTGGTTTTCGAGACAAGGTTTCTCTGTAGCTTTGGTGCCTGTCCCGGAACTAGCTCTTGTAGACCAGGCTGGCCTCGAACTCACAGAGATCTGCCTGCCTCTGCCTCCCGAGTGCTGGGATTAAAGGCGTGCGCCACTACCGCCCGGTGGGAGTGTCATATATCAATCTGTTGATTTCATTGGTTAAGTAATAAACAAACTGCTTGGGCTCATAGCTTAGAACATAGGTGGGTGGAGTAAACAGAACAGAATGCTGGGAGGAAGAGGAAGTGAGCTCAGACTCGACAGCTCTCCTCTCGGGAGCAGATGCCTCAGAGAGAGGCCATGCTCCAGGCTCCTGGGCAGACACACACGATGAAGCTCCAACCCAGGATGGATGTAGGCTAGAATCTTCCCGGTAAGTGCACCTAGCTGTGCTACATAGAATATTAGAAATGGGCTAGTCCAGGTGCGAGAGTTAGCCTAGAAGAGGCTAGATAGAAATGGGCCAAGCAGTGTTTAAATGAATACAGTTTGTGTGTTGTTATTTCGGGGCATAAGCTAGCAGGCGGCTGGGGTGTTCGGGACGCAGCCCCGCCGCTCCTATCACTACAACCTATTACTACAGCCTGGCTTATTTTGGCTTTTTGAGATAAGATTTTACTCTGTAGCCCAGGCTGGCCCAGAATTCAGGGTCCTCATTCTCAGCATACCCAGTGCTAGTATTACAAGCGTGATTTATCCTTCCTAAGGGGATGGCTGCAGCATAGCTTTGTCCTTTCCTGATAGAGGATCTGAGTTTGGTTCCTAGCACCCACACTGGGCACATCGCAACAACCTATAAGTCCAGCTCCAGGCGATCAATGCCTCCTTCTAGACGACAGGGACACTTGCACTCACAGTCTAATGCAGCGTGCTGGAGAACTGAACACCAGAGAGGACACCTGACATCCCTACAGTTCTGTCAGTCTCAGAGGGCACAGATGAGTGTCCATCCAGCACCAGCAGGCCCCCTCCCCTTGGGTTAAACCCTGGGGTGAGAAAGTTTTCTGCTGTTGTCTTGGCAACAACCAAGGACTCCTAGGTCCACATACTGGACTTCTGAGGCCTTGATGAGTCAGCTCTGCTTCCTCCTCTACTTCCTTACCACCAGCATAGTTCAGTTGCAGGCTGGAAGCAGGAAGGGCTGACAGTATCACCCACTCCCCACAGTGACTCATTTGGTTGTCTCAACAGCTTGCTTGAAAGACAAGTTACTCCCCAAAACACTATTTGGAAGGCCAAACTAGAGATCATAGTTCTCAAAATTTGTCACCCTAGTAACCAACCAATCACTTGATTCCCCAGAGCCTCTAAAAAGATAAGGCTGAGGTTGGCTGTGGTAATATACTGTGGAGGAGACCTGGCATGACCTCAAGTAAAGGACTTTGGATCATATTTAAGAAAATGCTATGACGTTAGCTATAGTATTGTCTATAACTTTATGATAAAAGAGGATTTAGAATTGTTGGAATAGCCGGATCACCTCCCTCTCCTTTTTCTTCCACCCAAGACCAGATTATCCCACCCCTCTTTGGCTTTTTAACATTTTTG